TATAACTCATCATTGAAATATATTATATCTCTGTATATTTATAGATATAAAAAAAATATTTGAAGATGACATTTAATGGTATTTCAATATTTGTATTCCTAAAATATTATTTACTAGTGACCCGCCCCGGCTTCGCACGGGTGCAATGCTGATACTAAATATACCTCCCTACTATAGAATGTCCTTATAAATAACATTTACAGCTTTTTTGTTATTAGACAAAACAAACATTATAAAGTGCTATAGGGCGAAGTGCGGTCTTTGACGCGCTATTATATAGGCACGCGCCGCCGGTCGGGCCAGTACCGCCGCACCGCTATGCTTCTGCATTTTAAATCTGTAATATCTTCGGAAATATTCATTTAAATTACATGCTGTAAAGGACTATATTGATCTATATTAAATGGACAATGTATTTAAGACTTAATTGGTAAAAAAATTAATGCTGTATTGCTTAAAATCACTTCTTAACTAAGCCATTTTTTCCCGTAAAATGTAAAGGATAAAAAATGGTTATTGTGGGTTATCCTTAAGAGATAGACACGTACCATCTCAGATTTTTTTGTTGACTTTTTTAAGGTGTACAATACTGTAGTACATTATTTTGATTTATCTCGTGGGGTTCAGCCAGCGTTTGCATTGTAAACGCAAAAAATGTGTTTATTTACGACATCACATTAGAAACCTCTAAATTTATCAGTGTTTCTCTACAATATTATGCATGTATTATACATGTCAACCTTCCCCTTGAATCACTCTATTTAAAAATCCGCTTCAAAATCCGTTGCGTACTTTTAAAGATTTAAGCGTACATAGGGACGGACATACAGCGATAGCATGATTATGAAGTAATGAAAGTTTTTGTAATCAATATAAATGACATTTTAAAGTCATTATTTTTTCTAAAAATTGATTACGATAAAATAAATATCTCAAGGTAGTGACATCTACAAATGATATCTAAATAGGTGGTTTATTTTATTACAGACCTCGTAGCTTCTCATAAAAAGAAAAAAAAAAACAGTGGCCAGAAGGCGTCTGTAATAAATAATTTGCACCGATACGGCGCGAGTATAATCGCATCAAAAGTAGCTCTATTCTTTTTCGACAAATTAAAAATTGACTCTTACTGTAGTGCAATAAAGTTTAATTTAGTTGAATTTTCCATAAAAATTTCATGCTGACCGTACAATTAAGCTACTTCATATTATTAATTGCTATCAACTGTAATATTAGTGTGTTGTTTTAAGACGGTGACACATGCCGTCGTATAGAAATAGAATACAGTGTAAAATTTTAAATACTGATAAGTAAAATGGTTTTTATTCCTTTCATTTCTTATCTGTTTCGCCCATGATGCTATGCCATTCTTCAGGAGTAAGTTGTTATTGCTTTGTACCCTTTAAACTCACTGCTGTATGCCACCCTTCAAATCGAAACACAACCCTGCAAACACAACTGCTTTACGGTAGAAACACGAATTAATTACTTATATGCTATTTACATATATATTATATTACGCAATTAGCGTAATATAATATACACCATTTTGCTGATGTTATAAGTTTTATCATTATTTTTCCTTTATTGAGTCACTTTTCAATCGAAATTATTTCAATGACTTAGTAGGTTATATTTATCGATAGAAAATTGTATTTATTAAAAAAAAATCATAAGAATGAGATTTTCTTTGAAAAAAAAAAGAAATATTAATAAGGATTATAGAAACAATACTAAAAGAGAATAAAGACAAGAAAAACTTGTGAAAATAAAGGAAACGTATCATGAAAGTATGAAAAATTGTAAATACAATTGAAATAGAATATTCCATTTTTGTATTAAGTTTAAAACTTGGGAAAAAAATATTTGGTGCTTATAAAAAATTAGTTAAAAGAGTTTAGTACGTATTCTACTATATATATGTATGTGTATATTATTTAAACACCGCAACTCAACTTATAGTAATTGTGATTATTATTAAAATTCAAACCATATTTTTTTCAAACAGACTTGTTTACAAGCACATTTAAATCGTTATTTTTTTATGAATGCAGAATTAGGAAAGTTGTTATCTGTTGAGAAGAGCCCGCAAGTGACTCAACAGTTACTCTTTTAAATCTCTATTAACATTTATATGTATACTAGCTGACCCCGCAAACGTTGTTTTGCCAAATACATTATTTCTAGAAAATAGGAAAGGAGGTCGGCTTCGTCCTCATCCCTACTCCGTAATGTAACTGATCGATTGGTAGTTGATTAATTATCGACCGGTGAGGGTTGATGATTAATTTAAATTAAGAAAAAAGATATAATTAAAGCAAATTGTAATTATAAACTATACATGAAAATTATATTCGATTGCCATCTTGAAACCCTATTGCGGAATATAAAAATCGCGCTTAAAAAACAGGGGTTGATCGTAAAAGGGTGAAAATTTAAAGTTTTATGTATTTTTCAATGCTAAATGATATTTACATAAAAATAAAAAAAAAATTAGGGGTGGGTCACCCTTATCATTAAGGGGTATAAAAAATAGATGTTGGCCGATTCTCAGACCTACCGAATATGCACACAAAATTTCATGAAAATCGGTAAAGCCGTTTCGGAGGAGTTTGGTAACAAACACCGTGACACGAGAATTTTATTAAGATTTATGTAATGTATTAAAATAAAGCAAATTATCCAAGGTACGTAATTGAAGTTAAATAAGCATTTCAATATTATTCATACATTGGGAGTTGTTTTTTAATTCACATGAATTAAAAAAACCGGTTTTTATTCTTACATAAGAATAAAAACCGGTTTATTTGAACGTACTTTACACGTACATGAAGTCTAATTTTAGAATGGCTAAATTTATTTTTAACACATCGTAATGAAATGTTTCTAAAGATATTTTTTCGTAGGCTGAAGTATTTTTTCAAAATTGTTGCTAATGTGTTGTTTTTTGTTGAGTTTTGCTGATAATCAAAGTGGTAGTTATTTTTTTTTATACAACATAGAATGGCAAACAAGCTGACGGCCCACCTGATAGAAAGTGGTAACCGTCGCCTATAGACATGAGCAGTACCATGGACATAACAGACTATACTGTTTCGCCCATGATACCCCCCATGCGTTACCATTCCTGAGGAATCAGGTGTTATTCCTCTGTACCCTGTATATTCACGCCATATCCCATCCTTCAAACCGAAACACAGCCATGCAAACACAACTACTCTGCGGTTGAAACACGAATGGGACTGAGGTACCCAAACAAACGACTTTTGTACAAAGTCTCCCTCTGGAGTTTGGATGGATCTCTAATGATATTGAACATATTTTTTTCTCAAATTTTGTCTAAGAATTATAAAAGAAACAAATTTTCAAATAGTTTTAAAGTAAATGAAAGTAAATCGACAGCCATATTTTGTGTATGTAGTCGACGAAATGAAATACCCGATCACCGGTAAAGTAATGATACCAATTGTTGGCGCCGCTCCAGACGTCAGCGCCATTGTTATCTATTTAGTGAACTAATCATAAATGCATTACTAAATGCGAGTATCGTTTTGTTTATGGGTTAACTAGTTGCGCACGCGTCGTACCCTGTTATTCATAAAAACTTCAAACCTCTCATAAACCTATTTAGATATTGAAGACTTTTGTCCTTTTCTTTTAAACTAATATTTGTTATTTATATGTTTGTTATTTAGTTTTTTTTTACAACTTAGAATGGCAAACAAGCTGACGGCCCACCTGATGGACAGTTACGCCTAAACAGCCAAACGGATTGGAATTAAATGTAGTACACAAGTAAATTATATTTTAAGATAATACATACAATACTTTATACACTATCACACGAGCGGGCTCGTAGAAAATATCTAGTATAAAAAATAAAATGTATGAGAAATTATATTTTTACTAAGTTACAAGTTCTACTTTTTGTCTTCAGGTCTTAATAAGTGACGACAAAGCGTACAAAACATAGTATGTATAAATCAAGGAATACTCGAAGTTGACATCCACATACGGAGGGGAATGCAATTGTTAATAATGGGGACATTTAAATCCATCGCTAGGAATATACTCTGTCAAGTCGACCACTTCACCCCCCTTTTAAACTATCGTTTTTAATTCCGGACGAATTCATCACAATGACCCAACTAACCTGTTTTCATCCTCACTTATCATCCCCACTAGTGCCCCACCAGCGTACACCGCTAGTGCAGATGGGGTTACCGTTCCCTTATTACCCCTAAAAGAATTTCCACATACGAGGAGAGTCCCGTGATTCACATTGGTACATATAATAATGCCTGCTCATTTACTTTCCTACCATTAAAACGCGTTCCATTCCACGCACTAGTTAGAAGTGTAAACGCAGTAAACGTTTTCAAATTAAAATAACTCTGCCACCTCACATGGAGAGGTAAATATTCATCGGCTGTAATGTGTCGAGTCGACGTATAAAGAAACGGTTTGTACCTCACGCAGACTAGCGTGAAGAGAAACGCAATTGATTTGCCATCGGGAAAAGTTGGTACAACAGTTTAGACTATGTTCCAGTCAGTCGCTTCAGTGAAGTTGCAATAGAAATTCAACTTAAAGAAAAACATAAAATCTTTTTTACAAACAACCAATCAAGTGCGTGCAGGATTGAGGGTTCAGCGTTTTATAAATATGTTCAAATTTTATTCAGTTAATATTTAAAGAATCTGTAGATATGAATAATTCATCTAAAAATAAAAATGTATAATAAATTAACCCAAAAAAAAAAAAACATAATTGTCAGAAATAAATTTTAAAATAAAATAGAGACATGTTTTAAGCAATATCCTTTTTACAACGTGACGGAATACCCAAATGCCAATAGTAAATTATGACATATTATTATTTATTTATTTTTAAATAAAAAAAAGGGTGACAATTACAAATTTAAAACCTGTAATCATTATTATTGGCATGTAGTTACCATTATATTGACATATAGGTACCTAATGTAATTAATTTATAATGTTATTTTTATTTTATATTTCAAATGTAGTTATTATTGTTATTATTTATTTTAGAAATTTAAAAATTATAATGTAAATATTGACTTGCCATTGCGTGACGAAATCTGTTACATTGGTTAATAAAGAAATATGAATATAGTCGGTACCTGAATGCAGCACAGAAAAACTATAGTTACACTAACGGATCACATGAAAGGATAAAAGATGGTAAAAAAACATGGCTTTGTTTCTCTTGCCTTGCTGGCATTAATATTTATTACCTTTTGTTCTAATTCTAATAATAGTTTTCTATTTATATGTCGTGTCATTATAGAAAAAAAAAATGGTTACCGAAGAAAATACATTTGAATTTAAACGGACTGCGTGCTCTTATCTGATCACAGATTCCCATTTATTATTTCAAAATATAAATATAAACCTATTTTGAATTAACATATTGGTTTATATGTTAACCTTCAAGATGAGTTAAGCAGATCATACAACTAATGTTCCCTCCAATAAATTGTCCTTTCCATCGTTTCCTATCTTCATTCATTCATAGAAGTCTCATTCAATTAATTTATTTTTAGGCACAAAGTTAAAAACGACGATTTTGGTGATTCTTTTGCTGTCGAGTGCGAAATCTCCCGTGCTAATTTTGTAAGAAGCAGTAAGTTTGTCAAATTTTTAAAATTATTATATCAATACTTCTAATAAGACGAATCTCGTTTCCAAATCGCATCAAACATACAATACAAATATGAGAAAAGCATTATCCTTCTTTTTAGCAGTCGAGTAAGGTTAAACCGTTACTGTACTTGACAACGTGAAGAAAATATGACAAGGGGAGTGGACTAGTAAGGACATATAGAATTCATACAAAAAATATAGTAGATAACTTCAGCTAGCGTTAATTAATATGGAGTTATTTATACACATAGCAATTAGTAATTCTTATCAACCGGCTTCAAAAAAATTAGGTTCTTAATTCGGTTGTATTTTTTTTTATTTGTTGCCTCATACTAAATGAAATAAAATTTATGTGCCAGAAACATTGTAGACAAGATGTTGCATTTGTCTAGTTTACAAGATGTCCATTATGTTTCGCCACATCAAATGGCATGCAATTATTAACTACTGAATTTACATATATTTATTTAATTGTTTAAATAACCTAGCTGACCTGCTTCATTCTCACTTATCATCCCTCACTGGTGCCCCGCCAGTGTATACCGATAGCGCAGGCGGAGTTACCATTTTATTGTCGTCCATTAATAAAAAAAGGCTGAACTATATTCTTCTCCACCCCATATAATACGAGTATATTAAATTTGATAGTAACTAGTTAAGTCGTTAAGGTGCTAAGATGTCACAATTAAACTAAGTAAGAATTGGGTAGAATATTTTTTTTTTATATTAAATTGATTTTTTATATATAATATATAATAACGGTGACCATCAGGCTATTGCAACTTCTTTGTAGCTATATGTAAAGGCCGGCAGCACACCTACAATGCCTTTGGTGTTGCGGGTGATCATGGGCGGTGGTAGTCACTTACCATCAGGTGAGCCACATGCTCGTTTGGCCCTTGTGTTGTAAAAAAAAATGTAAATTTAAATCTGGCCACATATATATGTTGTTTAATTTATTTTATATTTTTGTTTTTTTTTTTTGTTTTTTTTTTTTGTTTTTATTCAAATGGTTGTCTTGTCTATTACACCAGGGTTGTCACGTGCGTATTACTGGCTTTGAAGAAAACTTAAAGGTCTCTTTAAACAAGAACTGTTTTTTTTTCTTTTTTAAATGTTGTTATTTTTTCCTGTTTTTCTTACTGCTAGGTTTCTCAACTTTGTATGATGATAATCGATGCATTTGACCACCAATAGCGAAGGCGGCCCCTCACAGTGTGGCGAATACCGTTCACTGTTGGAGGTATTTTTTTTTCTACACCTCTTAGTACCGAGGGAAGATGTTTTAACGGGCAATTAAAAACATAACTGGTACGCAACTATGTCCGCCTGTTATTGATCTAGTGCCTACATCATTAGACGCCATGAATAATGTATTTCACCTTAATTCTCTTAATGAACAAAGGTGCTGTGAGTGAATTATGCGCGACCATCCGCAGGTCACTTGTTCGACAAACGATTAATTCAATACGTTACTTTTTATGGCCATTTAAGAATGTTTATTCGAGTTAATTGCATGCTGTTATAAATGATCGATTATAAAAGTTCGTCAAGTTTGAGTACAGTCTTTTTGTATTAAGTTTACAAGTAACTATGTAAAGGTAAGGCAAGGCGAATTAAATTGAATTCCTATAATGTGCCCAGTTGCTTACTTTTACAGCGACTTCAAGTCACAAACTAAGCTTACTTTGTACTATAGTTACAGATAGACAAACACAAATATTTTTTAAATAGTTATATAGTATTTATAGTCTATAAAAAATGTTCAGAACAAATATAGTCTTGAATACAAATATTTGTATTGCGCTTGCACGAGGAATTTGTGATTTGCAATGTAAGTCAGTGTGTTTAATCTCTATATAATTGAGATCTTTTAAAATTTAAGATTATACGTATAAAAAAAAAAACGTTTCAGTCGTAATGAAATTAATATGGAACAAGCATAACGGCAGTCAAAATCCTAGAAATTTATCGCGCAACACATGCGTGTTGCACGTACACACGCTCGCATACACGCACGCATGCACGCACGCACGCACGCACGCACACACGCGCGCGCTCACACACACACATACATTCATAAAATACAGGAGAATTAAGAACCTTCTCTTTTTGAAATTCGCTTTAAAACAATATAGGCGTTCTCTCACACATCCAACATAATTCCAACAAGCTACTGTGGCACGGAGCGTGACGGCCAAGTCCGATACAGTTTAATTAAATCATCGTCATTATAAACTCGCACTTAACTATGTAAATAAATGTCCGACGTGATGAAGTTCGCTCGAGTTTGCCCGTTTGAATTGTAACTACTTATTAACACATTTTAGTATAACACACGGCGCTTTAATTCTGGTTTTGTTAATAGTCTATTGTATTTTTAGTACTTGTACTTCGTGGAATGAATTGATCTTTTTTTTTTTAATAATTAAAAAATACCTTTCGACCACTCGATTCGATCTCACATCTCAAATACCTAAATAATAATAATTTTAAATTCCCAAATGCTTAGTTGCTTACATATTAAAATGTTTTTAATTTTTTTTTTCATGAATTAATTTTGTAGTGACGTTTTTTTATTTGCTCAAGATATAGAGTGTGTTTAGCTTTGTATATACTAAACTCTATTCATGAAAACTAAATCCTCCTACAAACCTACTTTATCTGTTACATTGTTTTGTCACTTACATTCATACTGAAAATTTAGTACAAAAGAAAGAGACAAAACAATTCAATAGCTACAATTGATTTATGACAGGATTGACATTTTTATGAATAAGGGGGTCAGTTTATGGTATTTCTTTTTGAACACTATGGTCCTTTGTACCTTTAGTGTTTTCTTATCTTGAGGACGAAAGAGACTGATACTTCGTGTTATTTCTCTCTCAACACAAAAATTAAAAAATAGATATATTGTTTATTAAATATATTGTTATTGCTAATATGTAATTTATCTTTTATCGATTTAAATAATTGAAGAAATGTCGCTACCTAATCATATTTGTCACTATATAAGAACATAATAATACCAACATTTTACAAATGTTATATGCAATACGAATCGTATAAAGTCCACTTAAAATCGACATCAACAATCTACTGCCCTATTTATAAAATAATTTTACTAGTCAAATAATTTTAAAATAATAAATCAACGTGACCGCTCTAGTAATACGATAGTGCTACCGATTTCTTACGAAATTAGGGCTACAATGACCGATCTGAAACGCAACACATGTGACCTCTAAACGGAAGGCGCAAGGTTCAGAATAAATCAACAACGATTACTAAAAGGAATGTGACGAATTTGAAACACGACACTAAATGCACGCCTGTGTAAATGCTTTCTTATTAAAAAAAGAAACACGTGTTGTCGACTTTTTTTTTAATGTCGCGGTCACAAGGGGCGACATGACGCGACGAAAGATGTGGCATACAGCTCGAGTTGTTTACGCATTTGAATTTAGAATTTGATGCTGGCTGGATAATGTATGTTACCTGTATTGGATTGGTATTTTACGAACATAAATTACTACTCGCGGCTTTGTCTGCATGCAATTCGTGATGACGCTGCGTATTTGTGAAGAGTTATGTTCTGTAAAATATTTTGTAATCTACTGTTTATGATTAAACGCACCATTTTATTAAATAATAAAAAATGGTGTTATGATGTGCATAAAAAATAAAAATATTCACAGAATATACGATGGATGAAATGATATTATTTAAATAGATGACGTAACTGTATTTACTTTTACGTGTAAATTTTTCGCCTTAATTGAAGTGCAATGAAATAATAAATTCCGACTAAGTTTCTATTTGAAGTACTTAAATATATGTTAAAAAATTATAGTATTAGCAATTAAACCATCATTAAGTACAGATAATATTTTCGGTAGGATTTAGTGCGTATATTTTCGGTAGGATTTAGTGCGTTTACAATAAATAACCTTTGTAGTATCAAGGCAAGTTTATTAAGTTAATAATGAATGGTTATAGTTTGCTGTATCTTTGGATAAAGTACTAATATATACATCGTTGTTTTTATATAAAAAGAAATTATTGATTATCATTGAAAATTATAATTGAAAAACATATTATAAATTAGATAAATAGAAATTGCCATACAATCACGGCAATTTTCAGCAAGTGTATGTGTTTTGTTTCTACAATTCAAATAAATTATCGTCATAATGGTCTCCTATCGAATATTACACACGAGATCTGATTTACGTTTCTCATGTTTCTCACTGTGACATGGAATTTGTCAAAACATCATAGATTATAAAGTAGGTACAATACTTATTATTGGTAATAGATGTACTGTACTGTACTGTCATGACGCTGTCAGATTATTAACGCAATTGCGATCTTATCCGAACATTTGCCGTTAATGCACAAAATCTTATCTTTCTAGTAGTCGAAAGACATAACATTTTTTTTTGTTATTAATACTATAATATACAGATAAAATTACATTACTTGTACACAGATAGCAGATAAAGAATTCGACTCATTTGTATGTTGCAAGTAAGTTTGAAAATAATTAAAATAAATAAATATTCTCTACAAAAAATGACGGCTTTTATCTTTACAAAATTGATATGGTGGTCACAAATTTACTTATATATCCACAAGTATACGTAATTGTCAAAATCGTATTAAGTTGGACAAAATATTACGTAAATATAACATACAAAAAAAGTATAAAGGAAGAACTTTTTTTTTTTATTTTACAATAAAGGATATTTAAATATGCCAATTTAGAATAAAAAAAAAATCGGTTTAGAGGACACCATAGCAGATGATATTTAAATAAATTCCTGATGAATTCGTCACCTATCCTTCATTAGTACCCCTCCGACGTAAGCTATGGGGCCGGGGTTACAGTATTTCTTTTTTTAATAAAAAACACTTCTCATCCTTCACTGGTACTACACCAGCATATTCCAACGACACATTTTCATCTATTAAAAAACC